TACCTACATATACTATATAGTCTATACTCTGTCTGTACAATATGTATATATTTTTTTATTGTCTATTTCTTTTTGGGATTCGGCCAATTCAATTACTACATCTCGTACTGGTCGTCGTTTCGTGTGTTCGGCCTTCCGCGCACTATTTGGACGGGTTCCAAGTGCAACGAGCATATTATTATTATTATACATCGGAGTGGATGCTAGATGGGGAGGGGGGGGGGCTATAGTTTTTTTAAAAACAACCAAAACCCAAAACCTAAGGAAAAACGACCGGTGGACCATCGAGTAACCGGGAAAAGACTAAGTTTTGATTGGATTAACGACCGATGTTTGATGTACAACTACAGCTGCACACGTGATATTACATAATAATACAAAAATCATCTTCTGCCCGCACACATTACGCGGTGCATCTATCCGTTAATTGAACTCACGAAAAACGTATTGCGGTGTGTCGTGTACTGTACTGTTATTACATATACATATAGAAATAATACACCCATATCGTATATCATATCCTTCGCGGTGAACCTAGACGTCGTTGTTCAGACAGACAGACAATTGCGTTTATGTTCTAATATGTATACTTATAAATACGAATATTTTTGTTAGAGATGGTGTAATTTTCTCAAAATTAGTACCGCTTTAGGGAAGATAGTTCGTGAAGTGACGTTGAAGTGAATATTCGTCCAATCGACACAAAAGTCCCAGACCCCTTCTATTAAAGTCAGCCTACCAAGGTAAGAAGTGGTATCTGCATTGTGGTCAACTGAAGTGTAAAGCATTATAAATTTAAAAAAACAGCGTTACTCTAAATAATAATAGTATGTATTTATATAAATTATAATTATATAAAGCTCTATCCGCTGTGATTCGTGCTATAATGTTCCACAATTGCCACCATTATTTTATGTTTTTACTAGAATTTTCTTAGTTGACAATGGGGTTTCTTGGTTGTTACTAAACTTTAATGCATCCAAGTTAGATGTTAATAAAAAAAAATTGAAAGGTATAAGTCGCTGAGTGTTTTTTTTTTTTTTGTAATTATAATAGAAGTTATGCATGGTATATGGATCATAATGCGTTTAAAAGCCATACTTTCTTGCTTCGATGTAAAAAAGAAAACAATAAATCGTTATAAAACAAATAACATATATTAAGGTAAACCTATTGCTAAACCCTGTAACTGATATCATCGACAAATCAATATATTATATTTATTGAAAACTTTTTTTTTACTAAATAAGACAATACTAAATGTTTGAGTTTTAAGGAGAGCGGATATCCATATTGAACAGGGTTGGTGTGGATTTTTAAATATGTCTGTCTTGTTACCTGCACAACGAAGAGGTCTTATGTTTCTTATTTTAAATATTAAAAACGTATGCTTTTCTACAACGTCAATCCAAAAAATATGTTGCACTAAAAAATAGACACAGTATAGCTTTAAATCAAATAAAAGTCATTACCGCAGTATAATATAATGTTCAACAACACACAGCACAACAACAATAGGACAGTTGTTTTTTACATGGCCGGTATTTGTTCAGTAAGGTATAGTGTCAAATACTTCATTTTTTATTAATATTCCTTTGAAAAATTTTGCCATACGACTGGCTATTGTAGAGAATAAGAATCATTTATATAACGGTTTTCGTTATGATATTTACAAATATCATATATATTTTTATTATTTAAATGAGCTCACAACACAAAACAATTTTTTTTTAAAATTATTATTAAATGTTAAATTATTGTAGTCGGAACTATTAAAAACGATTTGGTCACAATCCGATGCAAAACAAGTTTATTATTTATGGAGATATTAGGATATTTAGAATAGCAGCGTGAAGTCATTGGGCCGAGCTCGCCATAATTGCCTATCTTACACGTGTAAAGTAGCTCACTTTACACAATGATTTACGAACATATAACTATACATTTTATTTTTGATATTTCATTTACACATAGAGCTTATATTGATTATTATATTATCAAGTGATAATGAATGTTAAACCGTATATCAAGTAAAATTATTCTATAACTTGTTTAGAATATGTTTTACCAAAAAAAAAAAGGTAAATTACACATCCACAAATTTCCATGTTAAAAATATAGCCAATTTCCAGACCATAAGGCCCAAAATAAGGATAAATTATTTTCTAAAAAAAGTTGTTAAAAGAATCTGTATCATAAATGTTCAAAAATAGTTTTCTATGTTAACGCATACTCAGTATTATTTTCTTTAAATTATCAGCTTATCATTAGTTATTGGCCGATGAAGCTATTGCAAATTCCTTGACACCAGTAAGAGTTTTGAATTGGAATAAAAAAGTAAATCGACCTTCTATCTGGCGTCAAGTAAGTTTAGCATAAAGTCCAATAGTCAAAAATATAAAAATTAACTTTTATTTTTTCATTTTAAGACGGAAATAGAGAAAGAATTATTGCTCTTAATTTTTCACCTAAACTTGTGGAAAATCTATTCGAAACTCTGATAAGGATTACTGGCCTGCTAGTCTAAAATCATATAACCCTATGAAAGACCCTGACATCGACGAGGATGGTCTTTTCGATGGATATAAGTGTAAACGTATCCCAGGAGAAGAACAGGAAGCAGTAATCGTGTTCCATTTTGATAACACAGATATGCCTGAAAATATGAAGGCTGAGCCAGGATTTATAGTATTCTTCTATGATGGAGCAATTGAAGTAATATAAATTAAGAATATTTATTTTGTACATGGTTATTAACATTTTATGTTAGACCTGATTGTTATGTTGAATGAAAAATATGACTTGTGCAAAAACTTTTTCGTTATTTGTGACATATATATTTTGAGGTAATTGTATTTTACCCTCTGGTTAACATGAATTCGGCGGGTCGACTTATGAAACTCAACTAGCAGCCTATTTATTAATTTAGATATTCATAATAAGCTTTTTTAAAAATGCATTGGTTGTAAAGTAAACATTTGATACCATAAATCAAATATTTTAAAAACAAATTTTTCTGATGAATATTTAATATATATATATTTTACTATTTACTATAATTTAAGTAAATATATTTATATTTTACTTTTTATTATATTAATATCTTGTCGAAAACTCGTTATCAATAAATACTTAATGAGTTATTAAAGTTCAGAGAACAGACAGACTGTATAGACATTTTTATTCGTTTGCTTACTTAGTATTCGTTTTTATAGGACTACCAAAGGATAAAAGCATCTGATGAAGCGCTAGCGAATCCCCTGGAAACAGTTATTGTTTGTGATTGGTCTGCTATGTTACCTGTCCCTGGACCCTACAGAATAGTAAGTTTAGCAAAAATGCAATAATAAAATTATAAAAGTTAACCTAAATTAACTTTTTTTCATTTTAAGGCGGAACTGGAAAAAGAATTATTGGCTATTCTTTTTCGTCTAAACTTGTGGCAATTCTTGTTCAAAACTCTAATAGTAGTAAATGGCCTGCTGCTTTTATACCACAATATCACCAAAAGAGACACTTATATAAGTATAAACGTATTCCAGGAGATTTGGAAGCAGTAATCGCGTTCCATTTTAATAACGAACATATGCCAGAAAAATTAATGGCTAACCCAGGTTTTATAATATGTTTTACAGAAGGAGGATTAAAAAAATCCATACCACGGGCAAAATCTGCGAGAATTGCTGGTGTGGGTAATGTTTTTAATATATATAATTAAATATCGATTTTCAATAGTTATAAGTATTCTATTTTTGTATGCACAGAAAAATACATTTGCACTATAAAAATGTATTTTAATTAAATCATAACGCTTATACATTGAGCAAGCCACAAAATTTGTATTAATTTAATATTGTGATTTGTTTCCTGCGCATGTTCTACTGTAGGCGATTTCTTATCTTTTTAGTTTTTAATATTGCTCTATAGTGTGTTTATTAACTATATCAGATAATGTTCAGAAACTCTTCACTACACTTCTGCATGACAAGGTGATTATATCATCGGTATCAGAGATCTGCGTGGCTAAAGAAAAATTTAGCTACAATCGACAAATTTATTAATTGTAAAAAACTCATGTGAATATAATTTGTACAAAAGTTGAATACCTAATACTTCCACAAAATTTAGGTAAATGTTTTTTTAATGTTCTGTTAAATATTTTGAGTATATAGTGAATTTCTAATGAATTGCATTCTCACTTTATATTGGTTACTTTAGTATTAACAGCTAAATAGTATATATTCTAGAATTTTCCTAGTTAACAATGGGGTTTCTTAGTTGTTACTAAACTTTAATGCATCCAAGTTAGATGTTAATAAAAAAGAATTGAAAGGTATAAGTCGCTGAGTAGTTTTTTAAAATTATGATAATGGTATAATAGCAGTTCTAGTGCATCGTAAAACCGATCACGTAATGCGTTTAAAAGCCATACTTTCTTGCTTCGATGTAAAAAACAAAACAATAAATCGTTATAAAACAAATAACATATATTAAGGTAAACCTATTGCTAAACCCTGTAACTGATATCATCGACAAATCAATATATTATATTTATTGAAAACTTTTTTTTACTAAATAAGACAATACTAAATGTTTGAGTTTTAAGGAAGCGGATATCCATATTGAACAGGGTTGGTGTGGATTTTTAAATATGTCTGTCTTGTTACCTGCACAACGAAGAGGTCTTATGTTTCTTATTTTAAATATTAAAAACGTATGCTTTTCTACAACGTCAATCCAAAAAATATGTTGCACTAAAAAATAGACACAGTATAGCTTTAAATCAAATAAAAGTCATTACCGCAGTATAATATAATGTTCAACAACACACAGCACAACAACAATAGGACAGTTGTTTTTTACATGGTCGGTATTTGTTCAGTAAGGTATAGTGTCAAATACTTCATTTTTTATTAATATTCCTTTGAAAAATTTTGCCATACGACTGGCTATTGTAGAGAATAAGAATCATTTATGTGATGGCTTTCCTTTAGTTAAACGTCTTCAAGAATTATAAGCGTGTTTATATATAAATATCAAAATGAATATAAAATTCATTACTTTAATATGTTTAGTATATTGTATTGCAAAAGTAAACTCTATCGATCCGGTAATTATAATTTGTTCAACAATAACTTATAAATATATATATAAATTTAAGTATATTATTATTAAGTTGAGTATTTTTAAAATGTTCATAGTTAACTTACCAGAGCGTTCAGTAAGTTTGACATACATGTTGTCTCAAATATGTAAAATATCCTAGGGACATTTATATCTTAAAAATATTTATTTAATTTTTAAATTTTTCAAAAAATTAAACTAACAATTTTCAAGCATATAGTTTTTGTACAAATAACACTTACAAAATTCATAATCTTATTGTCTAATTTTTTAATTATTTTTAATAAAAAAAAATAAACATTTATTTTTAAATATTTATAATTATTGCATTCAAACTGGAAAGTATGAACAAGAAATGACTATAATAATAAAGTATAAATCGTATATACATCCGACCACTTATCTACTGATTTTGTCCATCATACCATTGCATTATCAATACTGTCGTGGTCTTCGGACAGCCACATTGCCGCAGTAGAAATTCTAAAACACTACAACCAGACTTAGTGTTCAGACACTGTTTTCTTAAAGCTATCGTGGTTTTCAGCCAGCCACATCGCCGTAGTCAAAATTCGTAGCTCTGTCGTGACCTCTGACCAGTCACATTGCCGCAGAGATTAACCCAAAATTTTTCAAAAATTGTAGTGGTCAAACCATATCACAACAATAAAATTTCTAACTCCTATAATCGTCGCGACCCTTGAAACAGCTGCATTGCCGCGATTCGTTTGTCAAATAAGACCCAAAGTCATCAAAATCTAATTTTCATTGCAAAACCTCTCATTATATAGCCAGTATTTACGATTTAATACAAAAAAAAAATACTTTTGGCTTTGCCATTGCGAAGCTTCACGAACAATTTTTCGTTGAAAATTATAACTTATAAGAGAAAAATTATTTTTAGGTAATGTTCTTAATAAAAATTAAAACGTAAAACTCTTAAAAATACCTTGATCGTCATTATTACAAAGCTCTTAATGTGTCCAAATTTTAAATATTATATAAACTATAAATACATTTAACAATGATTATAATCAACGTAACGATAATATTCGCCAAACATAATATAAATTAACATATTGATTTATGATAAACATTACAAAAGCAATTAGACAACAAAACATACTGGTATACATACAAAAAATAACAAAACCAAATCTGATTTAAAAAAAGGTTTAATTTTATACAATACATAACACAACAAAGTAACGTAAACATGTTCACTTAAATATTTAGCTACTATTACCCTTTCTATTCACTGAAATCTTAATACAATATAACCGTCTCTAACTGATTAGTGTGCATGGATTATTCACATGTGGTTAGTCTTGACCAACGTATTACTAAAATGAACTTCTGAAATACTGGGACAAGGTACCCTGCTCAATAAAATCATAACTTAAATACAAATCTCACACTCCAGTTTTAGTGCTATTTTTGTATAACAAGTCTATGTATCGGAAATCACTCCTAAAAGGTAGTCTTATGGTCTAAAACTAAGTAAAGTACACGCTTTTAAAAACACTCAACTTTTTTACTTACCTTAAAATTTAGTCACGTTATTAATTTTTTTTAAAACAAGTCAAATTAGTTTATAACTTGTATAGAATATTTTTACCAAAAAGGTAAATTACACATCCATCAATTTCCATGTTGATATAGATAAAATATGCAACAGTCAACAGATATCAGAAAATAATTTTTATTATATTATTGATTGCGATAACAACGGAACACTCGATTTTATATTACTAAGGCGAACATATATATTAAGATATACCGTTATGTGATCTACCTTCCCCGCCTATTGGTAAAACGCCCAAAAAAAAAAAAAATAATAATTAATCCTTCCTGTTTCTTAATACTTTACTAAAAACAACTATAGGTTTTTAAGTAAGTTTTAAATGTTATAGTGCCACTCTATATTTACCTTCAGTTTAACTTCCAGACCGTAAGGAGGTCCAAAATAAGAATAAATTATTTTTTAAAAAAATTGTTAAAAGAACCTTTAGCATTAATGAGCAAAAATCGTTTCTTTTGTTAACGTATACTCAAAATTCGTTTTTCAAATTTATCAGCTTATCATTTTTTTATAGGCCGATGAAGCTATTGCAAAATCCTTGATACCCGCAAGAGTTTTCAATTGGAATAAAAAAGTAAATCGACCTTCTATCTGGCGTCAAGTAAGTTTAGCATAAAGTCCAATAGTCAAAAATATAAAAATTAACTTTTATTTTTTCATTTTAAGACGGAAATAGAGAAAGAATTATTGGCTCTTAATTTTTCACCTAAACTTGTGAAAGATCTTATTAGAAACTCTGCTCATGATTACTTGCCTGCTAGTCTAAAATCATATAACCCTATGAACGACCCTAACATCGACGAGGATGGTCTTTTCGATGGATATAAGTGTAAACGTATCCCAGGGGAAGAACAGGAAGCAGTAATCGTGTTCCATTTTGATAACACAAATATGCCTGAAAATATGAAGGCTGACCCAGGATTTATAGTATTCTTCTATGATGGAGCAATTGAAGTAATATAAAATAAGAATACATATATTATACAGGGTTATCAAATTTTCATGTTAGACCCGATTGTTATGTTGACTAAAAAAACTGGCCTATGTAAAACCTATTTGTTTTTTTTAAACTTTTAGATTTTTTCCCATCGGTAACATGATTTAGGTGGTTTGACTTATGAAATTTGAACAGAAACCTATTTATAAATTTTGGTATTCATATTAAGCATTTTTTTTTTTTGTTAATGCGTCCGTCGTGAAGTAAACATTTTTTTGAATTGAAAACATTAAAATGAAAACAACATTTAAATATCCACAGCTAATTATAGTGTCTTGTAAAAAATTTAATTTCTACAATAATCATAAATGCAAAATCCATTTACGATTTTACAATTTGATCCACAGTAATACTATAATTTAAGAAACCAGTTAAATCCAATATCGTGTAAATGTATTTAGGGCGTATTGCTTCTATGCACACCGCATACGTTGTTAATATAATTTCTCGAAAATTACTTTGACTTTCAAAAATTGCATACAAAATTACTGTTGTTCTCAGAAACTATAACGATTACGTTTAAATACGAGATACGTTTAAAAACAAACACATATGATATACAACTAAGAAAATATTTTTTTAAAGGGTAACTTTTATAAATCGTTTATTACAATCTACATGATATTTGCTTTATACCTATTAAAATTATAATATTATAATATATTGATATTAATGTCTTGTCGATATCCTGTTATCCATAAATACTTAACCAATTATTAATGTTTAAAGAACAGACAGATTGTATAGACATTTTTATTCGATTGCTTACTAGTATTCGTTTTTCAAATTAATTAACTTTTCATTATTTATAGGATTATCAAAGGATTAGCGAATCTGATGAACATGCTGCAAATGCCTTGAAACCTGCAAGGGTTTCGAAATGGGGTCATTGGCTATCTCCGCCGCCTGAACCTTATATAGTATGTTTAGCAAAAAAACAAACAGCAATATTATAAGTATAAAAATTAACAAAATATTTTTAATTTCCAGAAAGAAGCAACGAAACAATTGATTGGGTGTGGTTTTTCACCTGAACTTGTGGATGTTCTTATGAAAAACTCATATGAGAAACAATGGCCTGCTGCTCTATATTTGTATATGTATACCACGGACCCAAACAAAAGGCACACTCTTTTGGATAGATATAGGTGTAAACGTATCCCAGGAGATTATGAAGGAGTAATCATATTCCATTATAATAACAAGGATATGCCTGAAAAGTTCAAGGCTAATCCAGGATTTGTAGTAATGTTCGGCGATGGAGCAATAGATAAATTCGTGCCGCGGGCAGATTCTGCTAGAATTTCTGGTGTGGATAATTTGTGTAATATATTACAATAATATAATATAATGTAACATATTACGATAATTAAATATCGAGTTTAAATAATTATAAGTATTCTATTTTTGTATGCACAGAAAAATACATTTGCACTCTAATATAAAAATTGTAATATCACAACTATTTTAATTAAAACTAAACGCTTATACACTGAGCAAGCCACAAAATTCCATAAGTACTTCTGATTAACGGTTCTCTTATATTTCTTTGATGCTTAACTCAGTGTATTTGTAGAAAATTCGTAACACAAATAAAAGACATGTTAATTATTTTACTTCTTGCTTGTGAAATCATTTACCTAAAAGTTCAATTTTTTTTTACTTATACATATATTGGACATGAGTCTAGTTTGGACTCCCAGAAAAGCCATAGCTGAATTCCTGGGAATTCAACAATGCCGTTGAGCGTGCTCGATATTGTTGGATAATTGAATATTTATTGTAAAGTATCTGGGCAATAACTGCCTTAACTGTGCAGTCGGCTGTAAACGGAATGATGGTCGGTAGCCGAGTGATTAGGAAAGCACGAGCCAAGTTAAATTCTCAGATGAGTTTTGTTGCCGTCCCTCTTCTACTTGTAGTTAAATTCCGCTTGAAGAGGAAAAGCCATAACTAAAATGGTTGCGTACAGTCATTTATTTGGTCCAGGTAAATTATCTACGGGTTACTAAGAATTCAAACATTTTAAAAAGTGTATTTTTGCATTCATCATATTGACCTATGCATTGTATAGATAATGCAAAACGCAAACAAAGTTCCCAAAATAGGGTTTTTTTTTTTTTAATTTCTACTACCGATGAATTCTCCGACCACCATTGGAAGCGCCGAGTAGGACATATTACAACCCTTATGCGGGTTTCAGTGCTGTATGGCTTGCGAACGTTGGACTCGTTCCAGCCCCGTCAACAGTAAGTCGGTAAAGACGGGTTCCACACCCCGATACATTGCCATATTACAATACACAAGTGGTACCAATCGATGATGACCGGAAAAGCGAATAAAACCGATAAAATTCGGACCTACAACACTCACAAGGGTTTCGCAAAACAATTATTGTCCGTGTAATAATACAAACGTGTACACGATACAAATCGAAGGGTCGGCTAACGACGACATGTACTGCAGGAACGGCCTATTGTGTGCAACCGGCAAAATATTATAACATATTTTACCTACCTGCGTTAACAACGTTCGTACAAACCGGTGTATACAGACCCTTCACCGTCGGCAGTAAATTATAAAACACATATTGGAAGCCGGCGTTTGATTTAATTTGTGTTTGCGTCGCAATTTGCATTCGTTTTGCGCGCGACTGTGATAAATTCCACAGCAGCACGTTAACAAATTCAATTTCCATCAAGTGCTGAGAAAGATGCTGTAAAAAAAAAATAAAAATAAAAATGAATACTTACATAGAACGTAGACATAAAATGTGTCATAGTTTGTTCATAACTTATTTGTCCAAGTCGATAAACGCGTTGTTGTTGAACAATTTAACTTAAATCCTTACACAATAATATGTCATCTAAAAATCTTGAATTTTAAAAATTACCCTCTAAACTGTCCCTTGTAGAAACCAAGAATAATTATCTTTTAAGTAATGTTAAGTACTAGCTCTAGATAGACTTGCCGTAACTCTTACTTTTGCCAGTCGTGGGCTATAAAATATTTTAGAGCTCTGTTGGACTGTATTTACACCACTGCGGATCGAATAGATACATAGATAGTTTCAGGTAAAATAAACTTGAAAACAAACATTCCATTGATCTATTCGATGTGCATCGAAATTGCCTTCTACGGAATGAAGTACTAAAAAAAAAAAACCCTCGAAGCGAAGTCATGAACGTTATTCAACGTCTTGCTAACGTTTCGCTGTCAATTTTCTGACAGTAAACTTCCTTTGTAAACTTAATACCCGGATGTAAATATATTGTAGCATTAATTAATTTTTGAACGGTTTTTTAAAGCACAGCTATGCAAACCGCCGTTCGCATGTTTTTTGGTGCTGCCATATTTTATTGCACGACAGTCAACTTACACTTAAGCTTGTTAAACAACAAATTTTTAATTAAACGGATACGGGCAAAACTAATTAATTTCCCGGTTAAAATCTAATTTTTAAAATACATATTTTCTTAAAATTGAGCACTCTCCCTTTGAAAACATAATGGTTGTACTAAAAAGTTTATTATTTTATTTAAATAGAACATCTTAAAAACATAATTTTAAAATGAGCATTAAGTACTTTAATATTAATTAAAAACGAATGTGTTAAGCTTGACAGCTCTTTGTTATTTATTTTATTGTTTTCAAAAAAAAAACAATAAATGTTTTTAATGATATGCTATTACATATTACTTTTTTTTTAAATTTTATATTTGTATTGAATTAAACAATGCAATTTTTTTTTTTTAATTATAAAAAAATATTGGCGACAGTAAAAGTAACAAAATATTGTATTAACACAATATGATTTAGGATTATATGTTAACTGGTATACTATGTGCTTATTATTTTTGTTTGTCGAAAAACAATTAAAATCAACACTAATGATAACTAGAAACTTACTGTATCCGACTATTTTAGTATATTAAGTTAGTTAAGTACAATAAAAAAAAATTTGAGCCCGCAGAAGATTATTGTTTTTGTACACAAAATATACAAAGCACACTCTTGTATTGGTGTGCATCTGACAGACAGAAGGGACGAGCACAAAGTGTAATTAAAAATACAACAAATGCCGCATGCTGGTCAACTTGGCTGACAGCAACTTTTTGAGCATAAACTTTACTTCGTTTGACGTCTGAAGTTGTTGGGCCATGATAGCCTAATAATGTCCAAAAATTAACCGGAACAAGTAACAAGTAAGTTAATGGATGAGGAAAAATTATTTACAAAATATTGTATCTTACAATGTTTTTTTTTTTTTAGTTTTAACTAATATAACATTGAAAAGTTTTTTTATGTGTGTGTGTAAAAATACCCTTAACCATTACTGCGATAAGGGAGCTAAGTCTGCACAAGTGTATCGTCCGAAGCCACTTAATATTTTCTTTGAAAATAGCTTAAAGAAAAAGAAAAATATTGTTTTGGTGACAAACTCATGAAAAAAAAATATATATATTTTATACATAAGTTAAAAAATTTTCGTGTATTGTAATCCCCAAAAAATGATGTAGAAATAAAATATAAGCACAAGTGTACTTTGATGGTTTCAAGTAATAATTTATAACAGAACGTTTTGGAAATGCGTTTGTAACCTCGTTGTAAACATTTTAATGACTATATTCAAATTACACTGAGCCGTTTTTTATTTTCCCGGCTGAAATTACATAAGAAGAAATAACAACTCACAGCAGTTATTAGAACCATCAAAAAGCAAAATGCCCATAGCGGTTTTTTTCAAACTTAAACGTGAACCAAGTAATCATCAACAATATCAACACAAGTTCAAAACAGCAATTTTTAAGAAAAAAACTAAGCAACGCGTCTCGCGGTTATAGTTAAATCATTTAATTAATAATAATTTTTTTTTTCAATGAAAAGCCTGAATAAAAAAAAAAACAAGTAATCCAATTGCAACCGCTATTGGCGCAATGAGTGATACCTAATATTATTTTTAACGCAGTGTAATTAATATTAATAATACTCCAGTCGCTGGACAACAATTATTATAATATTCATATTATTATTAGGTATATGAATGGTAAACTGTATTGTATTGTCTTTGTCCGTGATGACCCGTTGTCCTAATAACGAGTAGGTAGTTTTAATGATTTTATAATTGAAAACATATATAAAAAACGAAAGCTACAACACAAATTATACCGGGACAATCGTTGTAATTAATTTAACAATGGAAAATATAGTACAGCATTCATTGCACACAGTTCATGCTTGCACCGGACTGGGAATATATACATAGAGTGTCATTGAACGGTGGACGCGATTATTGATAATAATATTAATGAACGGTGTGTGTTCACACAGTACGGTTTCAATGCTTACTGCATTGAATTCAAATGGGAATAAGTAACGATTTCGAAGTCGATTATCTTCCAAAATACTTCTCAAAACGATTACACGCATATTCTGTAGCGCAACTAGGTCGAGTTATCGTTTTGCTGTAAACACTAAACGCTTTTTCATTTTTTAATACTGAAAATCCAGGACGATACGGATTATGCCATCATCTTTACACGATACATTGATAAGTACATAGTGGCGCCTCGCTTAAATGTAATTTTTGTAAGCGGTTTCTCGCCACATTATACCGGTTGAATCGGTAAACAGTTCCAAATGCATTCCACTGGCAAGCGGGATAACTTCTGTAGTGCAATTTAATGGGTGCTGATAAAAATAACGCTACGCACACACTCTATCGCACTCCAACTTTAAACTTTAAATGACTTTAAAAGTAACCATCTAAAACTGGTTGGTGACCAGTCAACATTTCCAGCAAATTATTCTTAATAAATAATTAATTTAAAAAAAAGTGAAGTTAACAAAATAAATAAAAAGATAATTAAAAAAAAGTAAAACAGTTAAGGATAATACAAACCATGGTGTTTATAGCGCAAATGAGTATGAATCAATTAGAAAAAAGCAATTTTTTTTGTTTGTTTTTATGAATTGAAATTTATACAGGAAAATACAAAATAAGTTTATTATTATCCTTTTAAAAAAATATCCGTCTTATCCTAATGCATGATACATATTCATCTAAAACTTATTTTTCATTCCATGAAAAGTTTATAGAAGTTGACGATCTTGTATGGCCACCAGTTAATAACAAATTGGCGAAATCCTTATTTTATACATATAAAAAGTACGCTTACAAGATGATAGTACTCAAAATGGCGCCTAATTACTAATTTAATAAAACGAAAATAATAACATCACATAATTTTTATTTATTTATACATTTTCGAAAAATGTAATTATTTCAGACATTAGTCACTAATTCACACATTATTACCATTTTAACCCATTTGATGTTATCATCCTTAAAATTTATTACTACTTCCAAACCAGTGACCGCCGG